AGCAGCAGCAGCAGCAGCAGCAGCAGCAGCTGGGGCAGGGAGGAGGGCAGGGGGAAGCGGGCGGGGGCGCTGCAAGACATGCTGCGGGTGCAGGAGAAGCTGGAAGCAGATGTGCTGCTGCTGGAGAACAAAATCTACGAAATGGAAGGAAACTATTTGGCAGCAACAGCAGATGTTGGAAATATGATTCGCGGCTGGGAGGGCTACATATGTGCGTGGCGCTGGGGTGTACGTACACCGCAGCGGGGTGCACTACGCGCGCGGCCCGCGGCTGCGGTGTACGTACACCTCGCGTGCGCGCGGCGAAAGCTGCTCCGGGCGCCGCGTTTTCGCGTTCGTTTCCATTTATTTCGATTTGCTTTTGTTTGTTTTTGTTTGCTTTCCATTTTAAACCCTTTTTCGCCGAAAATCCGAATTTCCACTCCCTTTCCACTTTTTGCATGCAGCCTCCGCCACCAAGACCCGCCGCCCCGCAGCCAAAGCTGCCGGCGGCGCCTCTGCTGACCAAGAGCGTTTGTTTTCCCTCACCAGCTCCACCAGCCGCGCCTCCCGCGAACTCACCTCCGGTCTGCTGCTGCTGCTGCTGCTGCTGCTGCGAGTGCTGCTGCTGCTGCGAGTGCTGCTGCTGCGAGTGCTGCTGCTGCTGCTGCGAGTGCTGCGAGTGCTGCTGCTGCTGCGAGTGCTGCTGCAAGTGCTGCTGCGGCTGCAGCGGGCAGCGGGGCGACGCGTCTGCTGCTGCTGCTGTTTTGCTTTGGGGTGCGCAGCAGCAGCAGCGGCAGCAGAAGACCCGGAGAGGCCGCTGCTGGGAGGCCCGAGCAGCAGCAGCAGCAGCGCGAACTGGAGCAACGGCGCTGCTTCTCAAGTCTCCAACAGCCGCAACTCTGCATGCAGCAGCACAAATGTAAAAGGAGCAAAAAGACTTCCTTCGCGTCTCGGAGCTGCTTCGAGTTCTTCCAAAGGAGCTTCCAGCAGCAGAAGCTCGTCAGGAGCAGCAGCAGCAGCAGCAGCAGCAGCAGCAGTGCCTGCGGCCCTCGCTGCAGACCCCGCAGCGGGCAGCGCCTGCCACGGCCGCATGTGACAGCGCCCGCAGCAACTCGCGGCTGCAGCAGCCGCTGCAGCAGCAGCAGCCGCAGCAGCAGCAGCAGCAGAAGCCGCAGCCGCAGCAGTAGCACCAGCAGCGGCTGCTGCTGCTGCAGCAGCGGTTCAGGACGTTTGTGTTTAGATGCTCAAGACAAAGTGAAGGCAAACTGTTGAGGCGCTGCAGCAGCAGCAGCAGCAGCAGCAGCATTTCGAATGTGCTGCAGTGCCTGGATTGGGGTGTAGATACACCTGAAACACTTTGGACTCATGAAGATGAGAAAATTCCTTTCCTTAAAATCTTATTTTTGCGTCTTTTTGTGAGCCGTTTTAGGGTTTAGGGTTTAGGGTTTAGAGTTTAGGGTTTAGGGTTTGATCGTTTTTGTTTATTTGTCTGAGTGGCTGCGGTAGTCTCTTTTACAACAAAATGAAAACAAAGAAATTAATGTTCAAAATTTGATCTGAAGTTTATTTTCGTTTCTCTTTTTACTTCAAGTGCTTTTGCATGTACACATGTATTTGCATGCAAGTATTGAACATGTACATATACATAATACAAATATATATAGATATATATATATATAAATATATAAATATAATTATATTTTAAATATATATACATATATTTATGTTTTAAATAAATAAATTTAAGACTTTGTTGGATAATTGGCAGCTGCGATATACACTTCAGCGCATGCAGAAAAGAAAACGGAAAAATTCAACTTGAGCATTGCTGCAGCCCTGAGGCCTCGAAAAGCTCTTTTTGTTTCTTGAATTAATTTTTAAATTGAAAGAATCTTCTGTTTAATTCAAAAAAAATTTTTTTGGCTTTCGGCGATTCGAATCTGCCGTTTTCTTTCTGCGGCGTTGAGGTGTACGTACACCTGAGCTGCAGGCGCTTCAGGTTTCCGTTTTTGCGAATTCGGCGAACTTTCAAAAGTTTTCTTTTCTTCTTTTATTTTATTTATTTTATTTTGCGAATTTATTTCGAACAAACTAAATGAACTGAAGAGGAGTGTCGTTTTGTTGTCTGCTGCTGCTGCGGCGAGCTGCGCGTACACCCCAGCAGCAGCGGCGGAATCTTCTTGGAAATGGCACTAAAGGGCTTCAAAACATTTAATTGAATTCAAATTTTATTTTATTTTCGAAATTAAATCCAAAATGCTTTTCTTTTTTCCTTTTCTCTTCACTTTCCACTCCCAAGTTGCAGCAAATCCCCTCAGCCCCGATCTGCTCCCCGTCAGCTCCTGCGTGTCAGTGAGCAGCCGCTACAAGCCCTTTGCTGCACAAGTCTGCGGTGTACGATTAATTAATTAATTTAATTAATTTAATTAATTCAATTAATTCAATTAATAAACTAATTAAATCATTCATTCAATTAATTCAATTGATTCAATTCATTTAATTCATTTAATTCATTTATTTTGTTGATTTATTTGTTTTGTTCTTTTGAAGAGTCTGGGCCTCAGGAGCTGTCCCATCCCAACTGGCGTCGAATTTGAATACCGACCTGTAAGTTCCATATTTACATTTATTTGTTTTATTTATTTTTTATTTTATTTTATTTGATTTATTTGTTTATTTATTTATTTATTTTTATTTTGTTTATTCTTTATTTGTTTTAATTCTTTTATTTATTTTGGTTCCTTTATCATTTTAATTATTTATTTCTTTCAGTCCTTTTTTATTCCTTTTAATTCTCTCAACTTCATTTAATTCATTTAATTCCTCATTTAATTTATTCAAGTATTTGATATATTTAATATACTTAATATACTTAATTTAATTAATTAATTAATTAAATTAATTTAATTTTATTTATTTATTTTTTTTTCAAAAGGGAATTTTGAAAGAAGCCCCCGACCCCAAAAGTTGCTTCCGCTCTTTGGCGCTGCTGCAGGCGGCCTTTACCTGTAAGACTTTTACTTTTCCATTTTCCTCTTTTTCTTCTTTTATTGCTGCTGTTGCTGCTGCTGCTGTTGCTTCTGCTGCTGCTTCTGCCGCTGTTGCTGCTGCTGCTGCTTCTACCGCTGTTGCTGCTGTTGCTGCGCTATTGTGCTCCTGTTGCTGCTGCTGTTGCTGCTGCTGCTGCTGCTGTTGCTGCTGCTGCTGCTGCTGTGCAGGCGAGCTGCGACACCCGAAGGACTTCATCGTGCTGCAGCGCAGCGCGAAGACAGCAGCAGTTGGGATTTGTTTGGACTTGTGTTTGCTGCTGTGGAAAGGCAAGAAGTTAATTTTAATTTTTTTTAATTTCAATTCTTTTTAATTTTAATTCTTTTCAATTTAAATTCATTTCAAACAGTTTAAAATGTTTTCAAATATACCTAAATTACTTTCAAGATATATAAATTGTTTTTGAATAAATGGAAATTCGTTTTTGAATAAATTTAAATTCTTTTTCTTTTTTTATTTGCAAACATTTCTGCTGCAGAATGTTCTCCCCACGCGACCTCAGGTATTTAATTAGCTGCTAAAAAGAAAAAGAAAAAATAATTTAATTTTTATATTTGCACTTTTGCTGCTGCTGCTGCTGCAGCAGCAGCAGCAGAACCGATGCAGCAGCAAGACGCAGAAAGGTAGGCAGGCACACGGGCTTTTTTTGGATTTTTGCTAAACCCTAAACCCTAAACCCTCATTAATATTAGCGTATTTTGAATAAAAGAAAGGAATTGAATTGGGAATGAAATTCCCGCGCACTCCATTTAAACTTTATATCAAAATTCAAATTAAGGAATTAAATTGAAAACAAACAAACAAATTGATTAATTAATTATTAATTGATTAGTTAATCAAATTAAATTAAATTAAATTAAAATTAAAAATTCGTTCTCAGATTTTGCCGCTGCGCCGCCCCGCCGGCTTCGTCGGTGCAGCTTCGGGTGTCTGTACACCCCACGCGGTGTCTCGGCAGCTCGGACATATTTCCGGAAAAAGAATTCAATTGGAAAAAAGATTTTAATTCTCATTTATTTCTTGTTCTTTCTTTCTTCAACTTCAACTTCCGCCACGCGCTCAGACTCCTGCTTCTTGCTGCAGGTCCGTCTGCTGCTGCTGCTGCTGCGCTGCTGCCGCTGCGCTGCTGCTGCTGCTGCGCTGCTGCTGCTGCTGCTGCTGTTTGGGCTCTTCTTTCGCAGTTTGATCGGCGTTTGCTTTTTAATTATTTACTTTGTTTTATTATTTGCTTATTTGTTTATTTAATACAATTATTGTATTCATTTTTTATTTTATTTTATTTATTTATTTATTTATTATTTCAATTAATTCAAAATCTTCTCTTTGCAGCCCTCGGCGCCCTCCTCTGCTGCGCTGCAGCGCTCAGCGGCTTCTTCGGTAAAAAGCAATTCTTCAAATAATTAAAATTAAATTAAGTTGAATTAAATTAAATTAAATTAAATTAAATAATTATTTATTATTATTAATTAATTAGTCATTATTACGTTTTCTTGCTGTGTATTATAATAATTATTTATTGTTGTTGTTAGTTGTGAGTTGCAATTAATTTGAATTAAATTTTTTTGTTTTCTTTTCAGGAAAAAACAAAAAGGCCTCCAAGTTCTTTCGAAAGTTTTTCGGGGTGAGGCTTTAGGAGATTTGTTTATTTTATTTTATTTTATTTTATTTTATTTTAGTTTTTTTTATTATTTAACTATTCATTATTTAGTTATGAATTACCTTTACTTATTGTTTAATTGCTGTTTGTTCGTTTATTATTAGTTATTATTTATTATTTTATAATTGTTGAACAAAATGGAACAAAGAGTGAATTGTTTTTTGTAGATTTGATTCAAATTTAATTAAAGTTGAATTTGAAAAAAAGATCTTTTCAAATCAAAAAAAGAATTTTAATTAATTTAAAATCAAAAATAAAAATAAAATCGCTCAAGTAGAAAACCGTTTTAAGGAGGACCAATCGAAGTCTTTTGAATTAATTTCATTAAATTGAATTTACTTTAATTTCAATTTAATTTTAGTTTTTTATTTTAATTTATTTTTATTTTTATTTTTTATTCTTTTTTACAGGACTCGCAAATGGATTTCGACTTGGAGCTGGAGGGCCTCTAAAGAATAAAACGAAAATAAAAAAATTAAATTAAAATAAATGAAATTAAATAATAAAATAATAAAAATGAAAATAAAATGAATGGCGAAGTGCAGCAGCATTTTGCGGGTGTGCATGCGCAGTGTACGTACACCCCAGCAGCTGCTGCTGCTGAGGCGTTTTTTGAGTCGAAAACTTTCTTTTGCAAAAATAAAACTAAAACATATTTGTCTTCTAAACCCTAAACCCTAAACCCTAAGGGTTTATATATATTTATTTTGTTTTAAATTCGCTTCATAACTGCATGTGCTACAGCGCTCAGGTGTATGTACACCACGTGGAAGTGTGTGCGCACTGCAGCAGCTCTTAGTCTTTCCAATCAGCTGCTGCTGCTGCTGCTGCTGCTGCTCAACTGCAGCAGCAGCAGCAGCAGCAGAAGCAGCAGCAGCCGCAGCAAAGGAAACAAAAGAATGAATTAAAGAAGAGTTTCATTGCCATTTGTTTTTCAAGCTTGTCGCTGGACAAAACCGAGAAAAGACAAATAAGAATTCGACAGCCAAAGTGCAGCTGCTGCTGCAGCGGGGTCCTTCAACGGACTTTCCCGACTAAATGGCCACAAACGAAAACAATAAATAATAATAAATAATAAATAATAAATAATAAATAATAAATAATAAATGATAAATAAGAATAAAAGAATAATAATAAACGCAAAAAAGAAGAAACGGCGGAAAGCGGATCTGCGCGCGAGTCGCGGGAGCTGGGGTGTACGTACACCTCAGTCGGTGCGCACGAGTTCCTGCGGCGGCGTTTGCTGCATTTGTTTTTGGATTTCTTTTTGGAGGATTTGTTGGAAGCAGCATTTATGTTTATTTGTTTTTGCATTTGTTTTTGCATTTGAGGACTTTTGGGAACTTTCAAGTCCCATGTAAGTCCGCAGCTTCTGCTGAATCGCGCTGTGCTGCAGCGCAGCAGCAACGCGGCCGCGCCCGTGCAGAATGGCTTCCGGGTTCACCTTCCGCGCGTGGCTTTGCTGCTGCTGCTGCTGCTGCTGCAGCAGCAGCGGCCCCATCAGCGGCTGCGACTTCACGAAGCTGGGTCTGCTGCTGCTGCTGCAGCTGCAGCTGCGCTGGCGGGCGGCGGCGGCGGCGGCGCTGCCGTGGGCGGCGGCGGCGCAGCAGCAGCAGAGGTCGCCGCCGCTGCAGCAGCAGCAGCAGCTGCTGCTGCTGCTGCGGCGGGCGAAGGGGCCCAGCAGCTCCGGGACCTCCAGCTCGCCGCTGCCGATCTTCATGGCCAACTTGCAAATGTCGAAAGCAGCAGCAGCAGCAACAGCAGAGTCCCCCTTGTAGTCCGGATGAGCAGCAAGACAAGCTCTCAAGAAAGCAGCATCTGTGGGGAGAATGCCGGAAGTTCGGAGGTAAATAAAGTTGTACATTTCCATGAAGCTTTCGAAAGCAGCAGCAGAGCAGCTGCTGCTGCTGCGCTGCTGCAGCAGCAGCAAACGGCACCGCTCCAGCAGCGCGGGGCCCCTCGGCGGGTCGCCCTGCTGCTGCTGCTCCCCGAAGAGAATGGAGTGTACAGACAGCTCCGCAACAGACTTGTCTCTGGAATTCTTCTCCACTTCTTTTCGAAAATAAAACTTCTGATTCAAAACTGAATTCAACTTTGCTGCTGCTGCCATGTTTTTGTCGTTCAGGCTCATCGGGATGTACAGCTCAATGCCCTCCTCCTCAATCAGCTGTACAGACACCAGCAGCAGCAGCAGCAGCAGCAGCAGCAGCAGCGGGGGAGCAACATGGGCGAAATTGCAGCTTCTGGCGATCGACACATAACAATTTGAAATTAAAATTAAAATTAAAATTAATATTTGTACATCATGTAGGCCCAGGAATGCATTTACTTGAAATGGCGAACAAGGGTTTAGGGTTTAGGGTTTAGGGTTTGCCACCTCAACAGCCGCAAGCCAACACCCCCCGGCAGAAGTGTACCGCCTCACGTTAGGGTTTAGGGCGTAGCTGGGAAGGGTTTAGGGTCTCGCTTTCAGGGTTTAGGGTTTAGTTTCCAAGGGTTCAGGGTTCAGGGTTTAGTTTAGGGTTTAGGGTTTAGGGTTTAGGGTTTGGGACGGACGTGGACAAGAGCTGCAATCAAAATGATGCATGCGGCGTTTTCGAAGTCGGTGATTTGAATTTCGGGAGTTCGCATTTCGACTCTCCATCCGATGAGGTCTTGGGGTTGAACTGCAGTTGAATTTCGGGAGTTTTTGTCGGAACTTTGGGGGTTTTTGTCGGAATTTTGGAAACAAAAATGATTTTCGGAACCATTTTTGGTTTTCTTTTCGAATTTGGAGTCTTTGGAGGGTTTGAAGTGGAGTTTGGGGCTGCTTTCCGCGGTGTTCAGAAACTGCGGCGGCGGCTTGAAGCGCACGCCGTTCCAGTTGGTGCTTTGCAAGTTTTCAAAGTCCTCCGGACTTTCAAATGCTGCTGCTTCTTCCAAAGTCCAATCCAAATCTCCTTCTGCAATTATTTCTTCTTCAGTTTTTCCTTTTTGCAAAAGCCGATCTTTGAAGATCACCAGCGGGTCGTGCACAAACAGAAACGCGATGTGCCGCGCCAGCACCGCGTCCACCCCGGACTTCACCAGCGCCTCAAACGCCTTTTCGTTTACACTCACCTCCACGTCGTTCAGCTCCTCCAGTCTCTGAACAACAAAACTGGCAAAAAAAGGAACAATTCGAACAGAAAACGACAAAAAACGAGAAAGAATTGGGAAAAAAGCGAGCATTCAAACAAAGACAAAGCCGCACAGAAACGAACCCAAACGACCCCGGAAGCCCAGCTGCTGCTGCTGCGAACCTCCGCGAAACTGAACGGAAAAAGAAAGGGTTTAGGGTTTAGGGTTTGGGGCTTGGGTGACCTCCGTGAGGGCTGGGCTGTCGCTGATGTAGAGGGAGTTGGAGGAATATCTGGACTTGGTTATTTTTTGCTTTTCTTCTGGCTTTCTGCTGTCGACGGACATGCTGATGGTGTCCCAGCGGGTGTCAGTGGCAGCGACGCAGCCGCGGAGGAACGGCGTGGCTGCGGTGATCTGCGGAGTCGCACCGGAAAGCTGAGCGATCTGCATGGAAAGCGCGGGGATCTTTTCGAAATTCCTTTTCAAAGAGACAATAAAAGGGTTTTGCAAGTCTAAAAAGCCAAAAGTTTCCGCGAACTCGGGTTTTTTCCGGGTTTCCAGCACCCACCGACAGCAGCAGCGGCGCCAGCACGATCAGCTGGTCGTACAGGTAACGCGCAGCAGCCAAGTTCTTGGGCGAAAACGTCGCTTGAACGCAATTCATTCCCATTCCAAAACACATTGCGTCCATATAAATGCAAAGATCTGTTTGTTTCCGCAAGTGGGGGTCTTCGGAGGGCCCCTCGGGGTTTCTGCACAGCACGCAGCTGCGCCCGCCCAGCCGCAGCTCCACCAGCGCGTCTTCGATTTGCTTCCGCGTTTCTCCACTTTCTCCGCCTTTTATCTTTTTAATTAAACTTTCTTTTCCATTTAACTCGCCAGAAGGAACGCTCGGAGTGTTCCGGTCCATGTACAGCGGCACCAGCGCCTCCACTTTGCTGCCGCGACGCCTGCGCCCAGCAGCAGCAGCAGCAGCAAATGTTCGGCAATTAGCCAAGAATTAAAGTCAAATAAGTCACTATAAACAGCAAATTGTAACTGTCAAACAAGTCAAGCAACGGGGAAGAAGACAAACTTCAAAAATAAAAAATATCAAAAAGATGCAAATTGAATAGTGGGTGCGAAGACACCAGGGGCCAGCAGCAGCAGCAGCAAAAAAACTAATTAAAATAATAAAATTAAAAATTAAAAAGAAATTTAAATTATGAAAAATTAAACACTTCCTATGGCAGCTGCAGCACATCCAGCTCTGTTTTCAAACTCAAAAATCACACCGGCAGCAGCAGCAGCAGCAGCAGCAGCAGCAGCAGTAGTAGTAGCACAAGCACAAGCAACAGCAGCAACAGCAGTAGCAGCACAAGCCGCAACAATAGCGCCAGAAGTAGCAGCATCACAAGCAGCAACAACAAAAGCAGCAGCAACAGCAGCAGCATAGCGCACAACCAAGAACAGCAGCAGCAGCAGCAGCAGCACAACCAACTAGCAGCAGCAGCAGCAGCACAACGAGCAGCAGCCTGAAGACATAAGCAGCACAGGTTTGTTAGAAATGCTTTAAATTAAAATAAATTACATTCTGATGTTTGCTGTTAAAGTCCCGAAGCGAGGATGGGGGTTTATAACAGTATCCGCTAGAAAGAGGCTTCGGCTCAGCGGGTTCGGGGGACTTCCCTGCTGCTGCTGCTGCTGCTGCTGCTGCTGCTGGGGCGAAGCCCCCCCCGCTGCTGCTGCTGCTGCTGCTGGGGCTTCTGCTGCTGCTGGCTCCTCAACTCCCAGCAAAGGAAAAGAAGGAAGAAATAGAGGAGAAAGACGAGGGCCTAGCCACGACTGCACGCACGGCATTCAGGTGTACGTACACCCCAAACCCTTGTTTGGTTCAGGTGTACGTACACCCCAAACCCTTGTTGGCCCGCTGCGCATGCGTGCAATTTTTCTTTTGCTTGTATATGCATTTAAAGAATACTTTCATTAAATGTAAACTGCAGGCTTTTAATTATTCAAATAATAATAAACCAGCAGCAGCAGCAGCAGCAGCACCATCATCCTCGCCATCGCCAGCAGCAGCAGCAGCATCACCAGCACCAGCAGCAGCACCAACATCACCACCCCCATCAACAGCACCGGCAGCAGCAGCAGCAGCAGCAGCGGCAGCACCACCACCACCACCACCACCACCACCATCAGCAGCAGCAGCAGCAGCAGCAGCAGCAGCAGCAGCAGCAGCACACTGACGAGGAGTTTGCGTCTGCGGCTGCGGATGGAAGGCTCGACGCGGGCCCAGCTGGGGGGCCCCCAGGGCAGGGGGGCCCCCGGAAGGGCCTCGAGCATAAAAGCTGCATATTCGGGCTGCCACAAAGCTGCTTCGAAGTTCTTATTTGCTGCTGCATGCGCTGCAGCACTCCGCTGCTCCTTCGCCCGCAGCACCTCTATGCACCCTGACCCAAACCCAAACCCTAAACCCTAAACCCTAAACCCTAGACCCTAAACGCTACGTTCTTGCGTTCGCAGGGGGGAAAGAGGTAGGTGGTGTGTAAGGGATGGGTTGGGGAAGGTGCTGCACCCTAAACCCTAAACCCTAAACCCTAAACCCTAAACCGTAAACCCAAGGTAGCTGGGCAATTATGTCTGCATTTGAATAGGTGGGATTGTTTGTGGAATTAGTTTAAAGTAATTAAAATAATTAAAGGCTAAAGCTGCCATTTAAACTTTTAATTAATTCTTTTCTTTTGCTGCTCGGAGCTGCCAAGTGCTGCTGCTGCAGCTTGGGGTGTACGTACACTGCGCCTCCGGCGCCAAGCGGATGCGTTTGCTTTCCTCGTCGACTTGCACAATAAATATTTCTGAAAATAAAAATAAAAATAAAACAAATATTAGAATTAAATATTTGAATTAAATTTAAAAGAAATTAAATAAAACAATCCACTCTTCTTCGCCTGCAGTAAAAGCCCCAGGCCACGCGGTGTACGTACACCCGGCACATCAGACTCGCAACTAATATGCATCAAAAGCCAAATTAAGCGTTTTAATTCATTTTAATTCATTTTAATGCATTTTAATTCACTTTAATTCATTTTAATTCATTTAAATCCACTTAAATTGCACTTAAATTCATTTTAATGCATTTAAATGAACATTAAATGACAACGCCGCCGCGAAAAAACGAAATGCGAATTTCTTAAATTTTAAATTGAATTTGTGAGAAAATATGAATTGAAATATAAATTTAAATTAACTAAATTAAAATACATTTTTGTAATTAAAAGCGGAAAAAAAAAGTTTAAAAATCTGCAAATAAACTTTTAATTTCGAGCACGAAAGAATTCGCGTTTAGCTGCTGCGGTGTGCAGACAGCTCGCGCCCAGCCGTGGGGTGTACGTACACTCCACGCAGCAGCAGCAGATTACAAGCTTTTGAACATTTTTTTATTAAATAAATGCATGCAAAATAAATGGAACTATGTTTTATACTTAAATTGAATTGTAACTGAATTTACACTGCAGCTAATTGCAACCCTTCAAAACCTTCAATAAATGCAGCAGCAAATCTGCAACAAAGCAACAAACTACTCAGCGCAGCAGCAGCAGCAGCAGCAGCACGAGCAGCAGCAGCAACACCACCAACAGCACCACCACCACACCACCACCACAACCATCAGCATCAGCATCAGCAGCATCAGCACCATCAGCAGCAGCAGCATCAGCAGCAGCAGCAGCAGCAGCAGCAGCTCACCGAGTTCGTCTCCCCACTTTTGGGTGGCTTGGAAATCTTTGAACTGTTTGAAGAGCAGCAAAAACTGCCGAACTCCGCGGCGCTTGATGGCCGCAATGTAGGGCAAGGACTCGTTCCAGCTGAGGGGTTCGCCGAGGCCCAGAAACCCCATTTCAGGGTTTAGGGTTTAGGGTTTAGGGTTTAGGGTTGGGGCTTAGGGTTGCTGGGGTTCGCCACACACAGGTCAGCCAAGAGGAGTGCCTCCGCAGCGCGGAGAGTACGATAAACAGCCTGCGACCAACAGCAGCAGGAGCAGCAGCAGCAGCTGCAGCGGCAGCAGCAGCTGTACTCAAGTGGTGTTTCTGGCCGCAGCGCCAGCAGCAAGAGAAAAATAAAAGGGAGCTCGCGTGTCAGCCAATGCAGCAGCAGCAGAAGCAGAAGGCGCAGGAGTAGCAGCAGCAGCGGCAGGTGCAGCAGCGGCAGCAGCAGCAAGCCCGCTCGAAGGAATTAAAGTGAGCTGCAGAAGGCAAAGAAAGGACGGGGCGGAAGCAGCAGGAAGTGGGGCTGTTGGGGTGTACGCACAGCTGGAAAGGAAAGGAAAAAGAAAGCCAAGTTGTGAGGGCCCGGTGCGGCGAGGTGTACGTACACTTGAAATGAGTGGAGAGTTTCGGCGAAGGGCTGAAGCGCCGGCGGCGCTCTTCGGAGACGATTTTGAAGAAAAGAAAGTTCTAAATAAAGAAGAAATGATAATTAGTTTGAATAAATCGACAAAATAATAAAAGTGATGGAGAGTGAGGACGGCAGCGAAGGAAATTTGCAGCCGCAGCAGACGCAGTGTCACTTGCGCCGCGGGGCCCCGCGCAAGGCAGAGGCAGGTCCCGGCTGGGAATTTCGCTGCTTTTCTTCTTAAAAATAAAATAGAACTCAATTTGAACCTGTTCAACTTCTTTAATTCGTTCAAAAACGATAAAACGAGAGCAAACGCGAGAAAAAACGACTGGCGATCACTGGTCTTGCAGGACACACAGCAGCCGCCTCTGGGCCGAAGTCTTCAGGCAAATTCGGCGTCAGCAACATTTTTAAAATACGAAAATGAAATGGCAATTAATAGAAATGAAAATAAATCAATTTGCAGCTTTTTCAAAATCGGAAATTATTCAGGTTTCGCGTTCCACGAGGTGTCGAGACACCCGATCGCTGCACCGGTCCACTGCGGTCAGTCCGCCGCCATTTCGAATTTTTAAAATTTAAAAGTATTTTATCTAAAATTTAAATTAAAAAGGGGAAAACTTTTCAATTATTTTCCAAATAGAGCCCGCTGCGATAGCCCGTACTGCCCCTTTCCCACTTCTGAACAGCTGCAGCACGAAAATTGAACAGTTTTGCAAAAACGCGAAAATACAAATCCAGCAAACCCTAAACCCTAATTGAAAGAAGTCCTTTTAATTTCTTTTCGACTTCTTTTAGATCTCCAAACCCTAAACCCTAAACCCTAATCATCTCTGCGAAAAGCGCAAAAATGGAAGTCCAATATAAACCCTGATTAAAAGAAGTCCTTTTAACTTCTTTCCGGCGTTTTTTTAGCCTTCAAACCCTAAACCCTAAACCCTAAACCCTAATCATCTCCGGCAATCCAGAGGCCTCTAGATCGGCATCAGAAAGCTAAGCGAGGCGGGCATCCACACCACCAAACCCTAAACCCTAAATCCTAAACCCTAAACCCTAGATTCTCTGCTTTTAGTGGCTAGACAGCCACAGCATGAATTAAACGATTATTAATTAATTTAATTCATTTGAATTAATTTAATATATTTGAATTAATTTAATTTATTTGAATTAATTTAATTTGTTTGAACTGTTTTAATTTACTTTGTTTAATTCTTTTAATTCATTTGTTTAATCAGCAGCAGCAAACAAACAAACCCTCTGCAGCAGATTTCTTATCTTTTGCTGCTGGGACTCCCTAAACCCTAAACCCTAAACCCTAAACCCTAAACCCTTGGCTGCAGTTACAACCAATGCATTTAAACCCGCAGAAGGTCGTAGCCGCGAGGGTTTAGTGTCTACGATTAGGGTTTAGGGTTTAGGGTTTAGGGTTTAGTGTGCCGCAGCAAAGAGAGGAAATATGCCTCGATGAAATGCCTTAACGGTGAGCTCCAGCCACGCCTTCAAACCCTAAACCCTAAACCCTAAACCCTAAACCCTAAACCAAACCGTGGACTCTAAACCCTAAACGCTAAACCCTAAACCCTAACTTTTGCGTGACGACGCCTCAGATTGAGTCGTTGCTTACTTTGTCTGCGTTTCTCCTCTAGTGCTTACTGTTTAGGGTTTAGGGTTTAGGGTTTAGGGTTTAGGGTTTCGATAGGCTCTTCTGCACAAAACTAAATTTTCAGGTGACCTGGACTCAAAAGAGTTTCGACTTCGGGTTTAGGGTTTAGGGTTTAGACTGTTGGGGGAAGTAATATCTACAAACAGAAGCAGATGCTGCTGGCTCTTGCTTGCTTCCAAAAGCTGCTGCTGCTGCTGCTGCAGCAGCAGCTGCAGCAGCAGCAGCTGCTGCTGCTGTGGCTGTGCTGCGTCTCGTTTTGCTCCTGATGCTGCTGCTGCTGCTGCTGCTGCTGTTGTTACTGCCGCTTTAGCTGCTGCTGCTGCTGCTAATTCGTAGTCTGCTGCAGCTGTTGCTGCTGGCGCTGCTGTTGCTGCTGCTGTTGCTGCTGCTGCTGCAGCTGTTGCTGCTGCTGCTGCTGCCGTCGAAGGCGGCGCTGCAGAAGCAACTACTGAGGCCGACTTCGCCCTGCAACATGAAAAGCCCTTGTCGTTTAGACCTAAATCCTAAACCCTAAACCCTAAACCCTAAACCCTTGAAATCCCAGGAAGACCCGCAGTGACCAGCGCTCACTGGCTGGACCCTGAGACTCAAACCCTAAACCCTAATTTTGATTAAAACCCTTGAAAGAAAACCAGAAAATAAATTCAAATAATTAATAATAAACATTTTTAGGGTTTAGGGTTTAGGGTCTGCGTGGCTGTCTTGAATCTCACTGCTGCAGCGCGGGGCCCTCCACTCAAGACTGGACCCTAAACCCCTAAACCCTTAACCCTAAACCCTAAACCCTAAACCCTAATTTGTGGGTCCCAGACCCCCGAGTGAGTTTCGCGCGATAAAATTGAGAGTAATTTACTTTTTAAAGATGTCTGAAGCCCTAATCCGTAGGCTTCCAACCCTAAACCCTAGACCCTAAACCCTAAACCCTAAACCCTAGCGCGCGCTTGCCGGCTAGCAGAGCACTCTCAGCTCTCGCCGCTGAAATAAACTGTCTTTGTTTCTCTGTTGACTTTTATTTGTTTTATTTTGCCTTTTAAATTCTTTTTGATGCCACACATGCAAACACACAGCAGCAGCAGCAGCAGCAGCAGCAGCAGCAGCATGCGCTGCGTCACTCTCCCATAGAATGTCCTGCAGCGCGGCGGACGGGAATGCTGCGGAGCTCCCCAAGAAGGGGGGCTTTCCTAGACAAGACAGAAGCAGCAGCAGCAGCAGCAGCAGCAGCAAAGTTGACTTCTTGACTGCTGCTGCTGCAGCAAGACCCGAAGGCCGTTTGCTGCTTCTCGAAGCAGCAGTCCTCAGGGGGGAGTACAACGAGGTGTACAGACACCTCAGAAGACTGGAGCCCCTATTCGTGCAGGCAGCAGCAGCAACAGCAGCAGCAGCAGCGGCAGCAGCAGCAGCAGCTGCAGCAGCGGACAGAGGAAGTGAAGCCGCAGCAGGTGCCGCTGCCGCAGCAGCAGAGACGCCCGCAGCAGTAGCAGACTCACCAGCAGCGGCAGCAGTAGGAGCAGCAGCAGATGCACCAGCAGCAGCAGATACAGCAGCAGCAGCAGCAGCAGCAGCAGAAGAGCTTGCTTTCTGCTTCCTGTCTGCTGCAGTGGAGACATGTGGGGCCCTAGGGCGCCGCGAAGAGCAGCAGCAGTGGCTGCTGCGTTTGCTGCAGCATAGCGGACTGATTTCCACAGCCAGCAGCAGCAGCAGCAGCAACGGCAGCAGCAGCAGCAGCGTTAGCAGCAGCAGCAGCAGAGGTGTGCGCCTCTGCCTGGAGGCAGCAGCAGCAGCAAACAATGCTGCTGCTGCTGCTGCAGTGGACGCCTGGTACGTGTGGCTGAAGGCCCGCCTGCATGCAGAAGACTTCAGGGAGGTCAGCAGCAAACTTGCTGCTGCTGCTGCACCTTTGCTGCGGTCTCTCCTGGGCTCGCTGCAGCTCAATAAAGCAGCAGCTGCATCAGCACCTGCAGCAGCACCTGCAGCAGCGCCTGCAGCAGCAGCAGCAGCAGCAGCAGGGGGGAAAGCAGCAGCAGTGCGTTCGCTGGTTGAGTGGTCGGACAGGCCGATATTCTTCGGGCTGCCGCTGCAGCAGCTGCAGCAGCGGCAGCAGCAACTGCTGCTGCTGCAGCAGCAGACACGATCAGCACGCCGCCAAGCGCTGTTCGTCGAGGGTCTCGCTGCTGCTGCACTGCTGCTGCAGCTGTGTGGCTTCAAAGCGGCAGCAGCAGTGCTGCTGCTGCAGGCCCGAGAGCTGCTGCTGCTACCTTCCCCCTGCAGCAGCAGCAGCAGCAGCAGCAGCAGCATCGCCAGGGACTCGTCGTGGGTCCTGGGGGTCCCCAGCGGCAGCAAGGCCTATCCCGCGTTGCAGCTGCTGCACTGCTTGCTGCAGCAGGCAGCCCCAGTGGCAGCAGCCCCAACCCAAGCAGCAGCAGCAGCAACAGCAGCAGCAGCAGCAGCAGCAGCGCCTGCAGCAGCAAGAAGCTGCTACGCCTGTTTGCTCTTCATAGATATGGAAGGGGCCCTCAGTGACCCCAGAAGTCTTCCTTCTCTTTCAGGGCCAATTCCTTTGCTGCTGCAGGAGCAGGAGGGAGCAGCAGCAGCAGCTGGCGCTGCTGCTGCTGCTGCTGCTGCGCTGCAGACGCCACAGGCTGCTGCTGCGCTGCTGTCGCGGCTGCTGCTGCAGCCCCTCATCCCTCACGAGGCCTGCGGGGGGTCTTCTTGGGGTTTGCTGCAGCGGCTGCTGCTGCTGTCGCGCGAGCTGCTGCTGCTGCAGCAGCAACAGACGTGTTTAGCCCTCGGGGAGGGACTGCTGGGGGGCGGCTGCCTTGCTGCTGCTGCTGCTGCGGCGCTGCCCGCGCTGCAGCAGCAGCAGCAGCAGCAGCAGCAGCAAGTGCCTGCTGCTTCCTCGAGGCTCAGGTCTTTCAGCAGAGCCTTCAGCAAGACTGTAGGCAGAGGGGCTTCCCGCGAGGACTACCGGCGCAGCGGCAGCAGCAGCGCAGCAGCAGCAGCAGCGCAGCAGCAGCAGCAGCAGCAGCAGCAGCCGCAGCAGCAGAAGTCTCTGCGGTTCGTGTGGACCAAGCCTGAGCTGGCAGCAGCGCTGCTGGAAGCAGCAGCATGGAGTCTCTTCGACGAGCAGCTGCTGGGCCCCTGCTGCAGCGGGGGAGTGCAGCAGCTGCAGCAGCTGCAGCAGCAGCATCAGCAGCGGAAGACACGGGGCTTGCTGCTCAGCTCGCCTCTTGCTGTGCTGCTGCAGCGAAGGGACCCCCACGAAGAGCTGCCGCGCCTGGCGGAATTTGTTGCTGCTGCTGCCTCGCAGAAAAGCTCCGCGAGCAGCACCCCAGCAGCAGCAGCAGCAGAAGCAGCAGCAGCAGCAAGCAGCCCAAAGGGTGGCGGCAAGAGCTCAGGCATTTTGGATCCTTCTGCTGCTGCTGGCGGGGCCACAGAAGTGCCTTTGCTGCTGCACCAGGGTCTGCTGCTGCTCAGCAGCAGCGGCAGCAGCAGCAGCAGCAGCAGCAGCGTTGCTGGCCGCAGCCTGGGGGTGGTGCTGCAGCTGCTGTGGCTGGTGGATGGCCTGGGGCTGGCGCTGCTGCCAAATGCATGCAGCAGCAGCAGACACAATTGCTGCTTGCCGCTGCAGAAGTGCACAGAGAAGCACAAGAGAGAGTTGCTGCTGAGCAGGGGCCCCTGCTTCCCGCTGCTGCTGCAGCAGCTGCTGGAGGGGGCCCTGCTGCTGTGTCTTTGCTGCGGCGCAGCAGACGCAGCAGCAGCCAGGGCCTACGAGCGCCTCGGGCTGCTGCTGCTGCTGCAGGGGGACCTCAGGAGAGCAGCGGCTTGCTGCTGCTTGTCGCTTGCTGCTGCTGCTGCTCCCCGCCGGCCCTTTTCCTCTCCAGACTCCCCTTCATTGATGTCTGCTGCTGCAGTGCAGCGCAGCTTTGCTGCTCGGCCCCACTGCAGCAGCAGCAGCAGCAGTCAGTTTGCGTCCGCCTGCTCGTTCTCCTATGCTTTTGTTAAACTCATGCAGCAGCAGCTGCTGCTGCTGCAGGGGCATTCGAACGCAGCAAAGTACGAGGCGCTGCTGCTCCTGTGGCAGCACCGCTCTGCTGCTGAGCTCCTCGTGCGGCAGCGTGCAGCAGCAGCAGCAGCAGCAGCAGCACAGGCTAACGGAGATGAAACGCCCTTCCCGCTGCAGCCCCCAGCAGCAGCACGCCCAAGGCCAGGAGCTATGCTGGCAGCAACGCTGCAGCCTCATGACCCGCAGCAGCAGCAGCAGCAGCAGCCTACGCTAAGCCCAAACGCCGCCAGAACAGCGTTGCAGCCGCAGCAGCAACAGCAGCAGCAGCAGCAGCAACAGGCGCAGTCGGACGAGCAGGACTGCAAGCAGCAGCAGCAGCAGCAGCAGCAGCAGCGACAGCAGCAGCAGGAGCAGCAAGAGCACCACCTGCGTCAGCAGCAAAGACAGCAGCGGCAGCAAGGACAGCAGCTGCGGCGCGGCTGCTGCGGCAAGCGGGAGCTCTTCCGCAGCAGGAGCAGCAGCAGCAGCACCGCCAGCAGCAGCAGCGGGTGAGCCTGGGGGGTCCACAACAGCAGCAGCAGCAGCAGCAGCAGCGCTAGGAGCAGCAGCAGAAGCAGCAGCAGGAGAGTGCGTCGAGCTGAGCTGCTACGTGGGCCTAGTAAACCGCGCCGTTTGCTGCTTGTCTGCTGCTGCGCAGCTGCTTCCAGCAGCACCGCAGGCCTGGGCACTTCTTGCTGCTGCTGCTCTGCATGCGTTTCATTTCAAAGCTGCTGCTGAGTTCGCCCGGAAGGCTTTGCTGCTGCAGCAGGACTGCCCCCGCACCTGGTGCCTCTTTGCGCTTTGCTGCAGCGCCCGCTGCAGCGCAGCAGCTCCCATCAGCTTGTTTTTAGACCCCAGCAGCAGCAGCAGCAGCAGCAGCAGCAGCAGCAGCAGCAGCAACGGGAGCTCGAGCTGGGCAGCAGCAGAGGACGCACGCGAACTGGGGGAGCCAGAGGGCGGAGCTGGCAGAGGCCGCCAAGAGCCAGCAGCAGCAGCACCAGCAGCAGCAGCAGCACCAGCAGCAGCAGCAGCAGCAGCAGCAGAGGGCGTGCTGCTGTTCCCGTGCAGCCCCGTGCTGCACCCCCACCGTGTCCCTGTGGGGTCTTTGGGGGAGCTGGAGAGACACTTGAGGCAGACAAAAACGCATGCATGCGCAGCAGCAGCAGCAGCAAGGATTGAAGAGGCGCTGCAGCAGTGCGAGCCGCTGCAGCACAAGCTGCTGCTGCTGCTGGCGGCGCTGCAGCTAGCTGCAGCACAGGCGCCCCACACCAAGCTGCTGGCCCCAGAGGAAGCAGCAAACATACGCAGGCTGCAGCAGCAGCAGCAGCAGCGGCAGCAGGGAGAGATCTCAGCTGTCCTGGAGCCGATGCGGTTCTGCAGCCACAAGCCTAGCAGCAGCAGCAGCAGCAGCAAAAGCAGCAGCAGCAGCAAAGCTTCAGCAGCTGCACCAGCAGCAGCATGTGACGGATGCATTGTCTCTTTTTTTGAAGCCTTTGAAAGCGAATTGCTGCCTCCGTCAGCAGCAGCAGC